ACCTTGGTCTTCCTCAGTCTCACCTCTCCCGTCTTCAAATGGTGCAAAATGCAGCAGCACGCCTATTGACGGGTTTGAGAAAGAGGGAGCACATTACCCCAATTTTAGCTTCGCTGCACTGGCTGCCTATGGTTTATAGGGTCCAGTACAAGGTTCTTTTATTGGCTTTTAAAGCTGTACAAGGCCTTGCTCCACAGTATATTTGTGAACTTTTAGTTACTCACTCCCCGTCTCGGTCACTGAGGTCAGCCGACCAGTTTCTCCTGGAGGTGCCGAGAACAAAGAGAAAGCTCAGGGGTGATGGAGCTTCCTCAGTAGCAGCTCCAAGGTTGTGGAATGCACTCCCAATTCAGATTAGGATGGTTTTGTCACTGTCGGGTTTTAAATCACTTTTAAACACTCATCTCTTCTCAGTTGCTTTTAATTCAGTTTGAGAATGCATCTGTTTTTAGTAGCTTTTATGTCAGTTTGATATGTTTGTTTTTATCATGTTTTTACTTTGTGATCGTCGTCGTCGTCTTCCTCCGCTTATCCGGGTCCGGGTCGCGGGGGCAGCATCCCAACTAGGGAGCTCCAGGCCGTCCTCTCCCCGGCCTTGTCCACCAGCTCCTCCGGCAGGACCCCAAGGCGTTCCGGGACCAGATTGGAGATATAACCTCTCCAACGTGTCCTGGGTCGACCCGGGGGCCTTCTGCCGGCAGGACATGCCCGAAACACCTCCCCGGGGAGGCGTCCAGGAGGCATCCTGATCAGATGCCCAAACCACCTCAACTGGCTCCTTTCGATCCGGAGGAGCAGCGGTTCTACTCCGAGTCCCTCCCGAATGTCCGAGCTCCTCACCCTATCTCTAAGGCTGAGCCCGGCCACCCTACGGAGGAAACTCATTTCGGCCACTTGTATCCGCGATCTCGTTCTTTCGGTCATTACCCAAAGCTCATGACCATAGGTGAGGATTGGGACGTAGATCGACCGGTAAATCGAGAGCCTGGCTTTCTGGCTCAGCTCCCTCTTCCCCACGACAGATCGGCTCAGCGTCCGCATCACTGCAGACGCCGAACCAATCCGCCTGTCGATCTCCCGATCCCTCCTACCCTCACTCGTGAACAAGACCCCGAGATACTTAAACTCCTCCACTTGAGGTAGGACCTCTCCCCCGACCCGGAGGTGGCAAGCCACCCTTTTCCGGTCGAGAACCATGGTCTCAGATTTGGAGGTGCTGATCCTCATCCCAGCCGCTTCACATTCGGCCGCGAACCTACCCAGCAAGAGCTGAAGGTCAGAGCTGGATGAAGCTAGGAGGACCACATCATCCGCAAAAAGCAGAGACGAGATTCTCCTGCCACCAAACTCGACACACTCCACACCACGGCTGCGTCTAGAAATTCTGTCCATAAAAGTGATGAACAGAACCGGTGACAAAGGGCAGCCCTGGCGGAGTCCAACCCTCACTGGGAACAGGTCCGACTTACTACTGGCTATGCGGACCAAACTCACGCTCCTCTGGTAAAGGGACTGAATGGCCCTTAACAGAAAGCCACCCACCCCATACTCCTGGAGCGTCCCCCACAGGGTGCCCCTGGGGACACGGTCATAAGCCTTCTCCAAATCCACAAAGCACATGTGGATTGGTTGGGCAAACTCCCATGCCCCCTCCATCACTTTTGCAAGGGTATAGAGCTGGTCCACAGTTCCACGGCCAGGACGAAAACCACATTGCTCCTCCTCTATCTGAGATTCAACTATCGATCGGACCCTCCTCTCCAGTACCTTGGAGTAGACCTTTCCAGGGAGGCTGAGGAGTGTGATCCCCCTATAGTTGGAACACACCCTCAGGTCACCCTTCTTAAAGATGGGGACCACCACCCCGGTCTGCCACTCCCTAGGAACTGTCCCCGATGACCACGCAATGTTGCAGAGACGTGTCAACCATGACAGCCCTACAACATCCATAGCCTTGAGATACCCAGGACGAACCTCATCCGCCCCCGGGGCTCCGCCGCTGTGTAGTTGTTTGACTACCTCAGCAACTTCTGCCCCCGAGTCGGACAGTCCATCCCCAGGCCTCCCAGCTCTGGTTCCTCCTCGGAATGCGCATTGGTGGGATTGAGGATCTCCTCAAAGTATTCCTTCCACCGTCCGACTATAGCCTCAGTTGACGTCAGCAGCTCCCCATCCCCACTGTAAACAGTGTGAGCGAGTTGCTGCCTTCCTCTCCTGAGGCGCCGGACAGTTTGCCAGAACCTCTTTGGAGCCGATCGATAGTCTTTCTCCATGGCCTCACCAAACTCCTCCCACGCCCGAGATTTTGCCTCGGCAACTGCCACTGCTGCACCCCACTTGGCTATCCGGTACCTGTCTGCTGCCTCCGGAGACCCACAGACCAGCCACGCCCTGTAAGCCTCCTTCTTCAGCCTGACGGCTCCCCGAACCTCTGGTGTCCACCAGCGGGTACGGGGGTTGCCACCACGACTGGCACCGGCCACCTTACGACCACAGCTAGCAACAGCCGCCTCGACAATCGCAGAATGGAACAAGGCCCACTCGGACTCAATGTCCCCCACTGCTCTCGGGACGTGGTCAAAGCTCTGCCGGAGGTGGGAGTTGAAGACCTTCTTGACAGGTTCTTCTGCCAGGCGTTCCCAGCAGACCCTCACTATGCGTTTGGGTCTGCCAGGTCTACGCGGCATGTTCCCTTGCCATCTGATCCAACTCACCACCAGGTGGTGATCAGTTGACAGCTCCGCCCCTCTCTTCACTCGGGTGTCCAAAACATACGGCCGCAGGTCAGATGATACGACTACAAAATCTATCATCGACCTGTGACCTAGGCTGCCCTGGTACCAAGTGTACCGGTGGGCATCCTTATGTTCGAACATGGTGTTCGTTATGGCCAAACTGCGGCTTGCACAGAAGTCCAATAACAAAACACCGCTCGAGTTCAGATTAGGTGGGCCGTTCCTCCCAATCACACCCCTCCAGGTCAAGCTGTCATTGCCCACGTGAGCATTGAAGTCCCCCAGTAGGACAATGGAGTCCCCTGATGGAGCACTATCTAGCACTCGTCCCAGGGACTCCAAAAAGGGTGGGTACTCTGAACTGATATTTGGCCCATAAGCACAAACAACAGTAAGGACCCATTCCCCGACTCGAAGGCGCAAGGAAGCAACCCTCTTGTCCCCCGGGGTAAACCCCAACACACAGGCAGAGAGTCTCGGGGCTAACAAAAAGCCAACCCCAGCCCTCCGCCTCTCACCCGGAGCAACTCCAGCAAAGTAGAGTGTCCAACCCCTCTCCAGGTCTCGGGTTCCAGAGCCAATGCAATGTGTCGAGGTGAGTCTGACTATATCTAGCCGGTACCGCTCAACCTCTGCCACAAGCTCCGGCTCCTTCCCCGCCAGCGAGGTGACGTTCCATGTCCCAAAAACTAGTTTTCTTGTCCGGGGATTGGACCGCCAAGGCTCCCGCCTTGGTCTGCCACCCGATTCGCATTGCACCGGACCCTTCATGTTCCTCCTGCAGGTGGTGGGTCCACAGTTGGACGAGCCCATGTATCCGGTTCGGGCTGTGCCCGGCCGGGCCCCATGGGTGAAAGCCCGGCCACCAGGCGCTCGCTCTCGGGCCCCAACCCCAGGCCTGGCTCCAGGGTGGGACCCCGGTAACCCTCCGGGCCGGGTACTCCGACTCTTCGTTTTAACCGCCATGAAAGATCCTTTGAACCGTTCTTTGTCTCACCCTTCACCTAAGACCAATTTGTCATGGGAGACCCTACCAGGGGCACAAAGTGCCCCAGACAACATAGCTCCTAGGATCATTAGGGCACTCAAACTCCTCCACCACGATAAGGTGACACCGGTTTCAAGTCAAGTCAAGTCAACTTTATTTATAAAGCACTTTACAACAGCATAAAAGCTGACCAAAGTGCTTCACAAGACAAAAAGAACAGAAGTTCCCTAGAAATTCTAAAAATAAGATAAAAAGTTCATCACAAAGTGACGGTTCTCCTCCTTGAACCGTCACTTTGTGATGAACTTTTTATCTTATTTTTAGAATTTCTAGGGAACTTCTGTTCTTTTTGTCTTGTGAAGCACTTTGGTCAGCTTTTATGCTGTTGTAAAGTGCTTTATAAATAAAGTTGACTTGACTTGACTTGAAACCGGTGTTAGGGGTTCAAGAAAAAACTTCTGGGTCGCTCCTGTTTGCTGGCTTTGGTTCTTTAACAAATCCAGAGCAACTGACAACTCTCCAGCCAGCTGAGAAGGAAATCAGTTTCAACATAACATTCCTCCCAACATGATTATGACTTTAGACTTTTTTGTGATTATTTTATTGTAAAATTCTTGCATATTGTTCCTTTAATTTGTGGGTTGCCATCAGTAAGTAAAGAGCATTTCCAGCAATATGGCAATAAATACTCAAAAACATCTCAGACCACAACTTTTAGGGTCGAATATGGAACACAAACACCAAAGTGGCATCTAGTATGTGGAGGTTGTAGTTGCAACAAGGTTTCCAGCCATTGGTACACCAGGTTCGCTGCCGACATGTGAATTATTTTTCTGTGGGTTCATTTGTTGTAGGCTTCACCTAAACTCACTCTGGTTTTAAATCTTTTATGATCGCTCGTCTTCTGAGGAGGAAAACAACATATTCTGGGCTCAAAAGCAGTTGCTTGATATTCCGAGTCCACCATTTTCCACAGTGCCAGCCGAGCGGACTTTTGGCAACCTGCAATGGTGCCCTCTGTTGGCTGGTACATTTAAACATAACCCACCATTGTGCTCGTCAAAATAAATATTTCATAATTTTTTTAAATTAAAATATATCTGTTATAGAAAATACTGTACCTTCACTCTGCTAAATACCTCGCAGAGGTATTATTTAAAAAAAAAAAGGTTTATATTAAGTTGTTCCATATTCAACCTTTAACCCAACTAATCCAAAAACATTTTAATGTTTCAAAAAGTTATTTTAATAATTTGGCTGTGATTTTGTTTTAACAGGGTGGGGTAAGTTTGCCCGTCTGACACGTGCATTGACCAGTAGTCGAGGAGTTCTTCAGCAGCTTGCTCCAGCGGTGCAAAAAGGAGAGAACGTGCACAAACATTCACGACTTGCAGAGGTATGACCTTTTTTTCTTAAACAGTTTTTGAGATGTGATTTTTTTTCTGCTGAAGTCGATCCCGAGTGCATTTGGGGACCAAACTTCTTGTCCCCACTCACATATTTGGGCTCGTTTATCTACCTTGCAGAGTAGGTTGTGATTCCTTTTTGTTTTTGTTCCAAAAGGGAAAAAGTTCTTTGGAATTTAACTGGAAAAGAGAATCCATCCACCTTTTAGCTGCTATGAAAGCATCTCGTTTTCTCGTAATGCTTTCTCGTGAGGTCAGATAACGCTGTGAAGAAGGTTTTAGATGTGATTGAGGTCAGGACTTTCACCATACAAGAAAAGGGTTTTATAGCCTCTGATTTGACTCCTGGGCCTGTTAAAGCTACTGGCCAGTGATAAACATCCCGTGAATGACGTGCGTAAAAAGAATTAAAAGTCCTGATGAAGAAGTATGTTGAATCAATGAAAGAGTTCTACCTTCTTTTTTTATTATTTGGTTTTTAGTGGATTTTTATTGCTCCATAGGCAACCAGCCAACTTTAAACAGAAATTTAGGATGAAAGAACTTCAAAGTGTAGAAAAATCCTTTTGTGATTTACTAAAAATGTTGACTTATGTAACAATTTGTAGGTCATAACTTTGTCATAAATTGTAAATAGAATATAAACTTATTCAATAAAATCTAATATTCCATAAACATGCAGATTATCAATATTATTGAGCCTTTAATATTTGATTGCTGATGAAACCAGATACTTTGGTTAATCCAGGGAAACAACACTTTATAATAATTTGACTCAGAGACAGAAATGTAGTTTATAAAAATCTCTGTATACTATATTAATGATGATGAAAGGCAAATGATTATGAATGGTGATTCACGGTGATATCAAAGGAGACAATGAGTGAACTCTGATGAAACATAACCTTGTTTAAGGGTTTTCTAAGTTACTCATAAAGGTGTGATGTCTGGGTTAATACAGTAATTTGGCTGTTTGTTGGATGTAATTTAACAAGTTATCAAATTCATATCAACCACTCTGAAGCCATTGTTTAGTCTCTGCACCCTGAACCATGGAGCTCCAGAGATCCGGTCTGCAGGCAAAGCCTTTTCTCAGAGCGAGTGAGTGGACTTCTGGTGTATCTGAAGATCGTAGGCACCCTCAGAATATGCACAACTGGTCAAAGGATGCTTCCCAGGTGGCTTCTGGCGGGTGGTTTCATGTCTGATGTGTGGGTGGTGGATTGACCAAATAATAACTGTTGATTCAAGAAGGACGATTCATACGCCGCTAAAATTATTCCACTGAAAAATCTGGTTTGATTCCCCATAGGATGGTCATTTAGCATGAGCTGTGAGCCTTTGCTGAACTCGGAGCTCTGGCTGAACTGACTAAAACAGGAAGTGAGTTCACTTTTACTGAACTGGTTATTTATATTACTTTGACCAACCAGATCTGAGAAATTTGTAACGGTGTTTACCAAGACCCTCAGGCACTCCCCTTTCTGTGACGCTTAGACCGCTTATTTTACTTAATATGTGGAGTAAGTCTGTTAAACACTCATTTGTTAATATACTGATATTATTATGTGAATGTAACAGATAATTAATTGATCATTAAATCATCAAGTAGACTCATTTAGTGTATTTAAGATCGGAAATAATACATGAAATAATGAACATTTGTGTTGATTAATTAATTAATTATTAAATCACTTTAGATAGAACATTCATTGTAGATAATTGTAATTATAACCAACTTCTGAAGAATCATTTAATGAGACAAAATAAGATTCATTTGATTAAAAAAGGAAAAGTCTCGTCTTCTGCATGAGACCTTGGAGTTTGCAGCAGGACGTTAACAGTGGCGGAAGAGAAGTCGTGTGAAGGAATCGTTTTGACTATCTTCTGAAGAGACAAGAGCCCCATTCCCATCTGTACCGGGTCGGCCCGGGCCGGGTAGCGTAGGTTGTTTACATATCTGGGTGTCCTGGAATTTTTCCGGGCCAACCAAGGCTCATTCTCAGCCCTCTTCTCGAGGGGGTCTGCTTCAGGCCGACCAGGGCCAACACACCCACTGCTGACAGCAAATTCACACCTTCCATTAGAGCAAGCCTCTGATTGGTGGGTAGAATCAGCCCACATGGGCTTAAGGCATGCTCAATTCATTATCATTCATTATCATGCTGATTACCCAGAAACTGAAAGTGTCTCTGACTGCATTCCTTGCATACCTAAGCAAGGATGCGTAGAAACAACCGGGCCAGGCTGGGGCCGACTGGGGCTGCCCGGCCTGGGCCGACTTGGTACAGATGGGAATGGGGCTAAGGTTAGAATCAGTGTTTTTTCTGCTTTCGAGTTGTTTTGATACAGGGAAGAACACAACATTCCTAGCAGAGGAAGGCTGCTGGACACCCGACTGTCTATTTGACCTCTGGCCTCCTTTAAAAAGCAACTGAAAGCTCACCTGTTCAAGCTGGCTTTTGCGTGACCTTCGTCACCACCCTCTCCTTTTTCTGTTCTTATTCTGCCTTTCCCGGGATCCATTGAATTCCTTCTGTCCTGTTCATTTTCTCTCTCCCTTTCCTTACACTTTTTTTTCCTTTTCTCTTTTTAAACATATTTTTAATCATTTTTGAAATCTTTTTATACTTAAATTTTTTGTGTGAAGTGCCTCTCGATTTTTACCTTGAGGCGCTATATAAAAGAATGTCTTCTTCTACAGTGCTGTGGACAAATACCTTTGTTAGCCTTTTCCAACATTACACTGAACACAGTAAATTTGTATTTTTAGGGATAGACTTCGTACTTTATGTTGTACATTAATGTACTAGAGCAGTCCACAAGTTCCTACGATGTGTTTAACAAATGTATTTATCTTTTTTCTAAGACAAAATTCTAGATGAGAAATAATAACAGACATTCATCATGGATGTAACACGAGTTTCTCTCTTCGCACGTGTGTGTGTGTGTGTGTCAGGTTCTACAACTGGGTTCAGACCTTTTGCCTCAGTACAAACAAGAAACTCCAAAGACACCCCCACACATCATTCTGCACTACTGCCTGTTTAAAACCACCTGGGACTGGGTCATCCTCATCCTCACCTTCTACACAGCTATCATGGTGCCCTACAATGTCTCCTTCAAGACCAAACAGAACAATGTCATCTGGCTGGTGGTGGACAGCATTGTCGATGTCATATTCCTCGTGGACATCGTTCTCAATTTCCACACCACCTTTGTTGGTCCTGCAGGAGAGGTCATCTCTGACCCAAAACTAATTCGCATGAACTACGTGAAGACCTGGTTCGTCATTGACCTGCTGTCCTGTCTGCCTTATGATGTCATCAATGCCTTTGAGAATGTGGACGAGGTGAGTCGACCATTAGTGATGTGGTACGGTTTATTTATGCAGCTCCTTTCACACAGTAAATGGTAAATGGTCTGTATTTGATATAGCGCCTTCTAGAGTCCTAGAACCCCCCAAGGCACTTTACAACACAAACAGTCATTCACCCATTCACACACACATTCACACCCTGGTGGGGATGAGCCACGATGTAGCCACAGCTGCCCTGGGGCGCACTGACAGAGGCGAGGCTGCCGAGCACTGGGGCCCCCGCCCCTCTGACCACCACCAGCAGGCAAGGTGGGTTAAGTGTCTTGCCCAAGGACACAACGGCAGCGGCAGACTGAGCGGGGCTCGAACCTGCAACCTTCCGATTATGGGAGGAGCACTTAACTCCTGTGCCACCGTCGCCCATAGTCACAAAGTGCTTCACAAATCAAAGCGTCACAATTAAAAAATGGCTCAGAAAGTCTATCATCCACGTGCAAAGTGAACTGTTTGGTTCACAATGGCTCACTTTCTGTGCCAGCCTGTGTGGAGTGTATTTAAGACTGAGCTGGAATCCACAAACAGGGTTCTTATGAAGGGTTTAGTTAGGTTGGTTACAGGGGTGATTGAGATGATTTTAGCCAGGTGGGGAATACCCTCTGCAGTTACAAGCGGAATAGTTTCTAAGGATCCTTTCAGAGATTTTATCTGGGCATGCTTCTTTCTCCTTTACACAGAGCCGATCTGACCTGATGATGTTCTGAATGAAAGTGTTTCAGAGTTTCCTGTATTGCGAAATTTGGCTGGAAGAAAATTCAGTTATGATGTACATCCATCAATGAACGTGTGGTGCAATTTTTAAAAAATGGGTTGATTAAAACTTCTATAATAAAAGTTTCCTTTCAGCCTATTGGGTAGCTTAATGGCAGACCTATTACCTACTCTCAACTAATCAACAACACAGATCCAGGCACCCTTCTTCCCCAAGCCTTCCCCTATCAAGTCAAAACAGACGGCAGGTGACTGAAAGAGAAAACGAGCTAGTTTGAACGGAGATTGTCAACGTTGTTTTTCCTGGCGTTAAGGCGCGGGCTGCGGCCAACAGTAACCTGGAACAAAGATCCGAAATGGAAAGAACAAGTTGGAGTCATTACAATATCTTTTAAAAAATCAACCAAAATGTATGTGTTTTATTTTGCCATGGTGGTGCGACACGATCAGTTAGTGTAGACTTTTATTTTGACAAACGTTGCAGGGAAAATAACGTACTGTGATTCCAATTCTAAGTGGTTAGTGAAAAGCTAAAGTAACCCCCATAAGGTATTTCTGTAGCCCAAGCAAAAACGCCCCACGGCGGGCTGGACCCTGCTCCTGTCAGGGGCAATTGTTACATTACCGTGATGGGACCTGAGAATATTCGGTGGGGGGGAGGGTGTGGCGGGGGTATCGCTACAGAAAGGTGAGGAAATGGCTGAAAGCAGGATTGTATGAAGTAATTTCCTGTCATGTTTGTAAATATCCTCGTGAATAATGTGCTGCAACTGAACTAGGGCTGGACGATGATTCAGTAGTTCATATATCTATCAATAGACATGTGGGCCGATAGGAAAAAATGGGTCGATAAAACTTCGATAAAAAAGTTTCCATTTTCATTATAACCTTTTTTCCTTATAACCTATCAGGTAGCAGCATACTAGACTCACTTCTTACTCCTAACCAATCAAAACCACAGACTCGGGCACCATTCGTCACCAGGCTCTCCCCTCTCAAACCAAAACAGAGCATGAGGCAGCAAGGTGTCGCAGTGAGAAGAGGAGAAAAATGAAAAATGCCCCCACAAAATGGCCAGAGTTGCACGTAAAATATATTTTCTACATTTTTTTCATATATTTGTCAATAATTATCGATATCGATCAATATAAAAATATTTTTTATCAATATGCTATTTTTCTATATCAGAACCTTGATTTAAAGAAAATTATAAATTCAACTGAAATCTCCATTTCTGCTTGAAAAACCATTACTATTGAATCTTTTCCTGGAATCGTTCAGTCTTAGTAAAATAAAGATGTTTAAATAAAATATTGAATTTAAGTCAGTTGTTTGTTCTTTATTGAAAGTGGTTAATTAAGGAATAGCATAAAATGGTCAGAGTTGCACTTAAAACATATATTTTTAGTTTTTCTAATTATTTTTCAATATTTATTGACATCAATCAATATGTATTTTTTAATTGATATGCTTCTTTTCTATATTGACTAGCCCAAGTGTGCAGCCATTGGGCTTTGGGGCAGCGGCAGGTGTTGCTCAGTGTTGATCTATAGGTTGCTGGTTTGATCCCAGCTTGCCCAGTGCATATGGGCATGTTGCCAGACATATAAGCTTCAGCAAATACCAGTCTAAGGGCTGTGATATACTTACTGTTGAACAATGCGAGCGAGAGTTTAAAATGGCTGCCATGCAATACTTTGAAGTGATGGTTTGAAGTATTATTTGTGCACGTCTCTTGAAATTAATGCAACACGTCCAAACGCCGCAAAATACGGGTAACCAGTTGGTGGAGTTGACAAAACGAGCAAGACACACTCACCACTGTGACTCTGTCTCTGGTTTAGAGGTATTTCACACCATCTACGATACTGCTGCTGCCTTTTTTTCTCAAAATTAACCAGTGAGTGAGCTCTTTTATTGACGCCATGTTTGTTTTGTTTGTACCCACAAACCCGGCTCTCTTTTTAGTCTGAGTTCTGTAGTATGCCCCCCTGTGGAATGCTCCAGTGCTACATGCAGTGCAGTGCCGTGTAGCAGCAAGTATGTGAACGAAGACGCAGCCGGCTGCTTTCCAGGCGCACATGGTATACATCATTTGAGTTGTTACTGTGTTTGGCTAAAGACAAAATATGCTAGCCAGTGCCAGCCTGGCACTTACTTGTGCATCCTCCAGTCAGCTCATAATATTCTACCAGATAGCCCTCCTTCTTTATGATGGTAGATTTGACAAAGGACGGGGCTCCACATAGAGATCTGGCTGCTGCCAGGTCAGCTAGAGACTTTTGCTCTCCCAAGCATATTTCTTCATCAGGACTTTTAATTCTTTTTACACATGCCATTCATGGAAAGTTCATCTCTGGCCAGTAACTTTTACAGACCCAGTAATTCCTTTATAGCATGGTTGAAAAGTAATGTCTGACTTTCATTGATCAAATTGGTAACATTTTACAATAATGTTTTGTTGTTAAACATTTATAAGTCATTAAGAAATAATTTGCAAGGTCGTAGATAATCATTTATAAAGGATTTGGGTGACCTACAAATAACTTTATAAGTGTTTAGTAAGTTATTAACAGATTATTTACGAGGTATTAGTTAATATTTATTTTTAAAGGCTTGAGTTGACATTTACAAATGTTTAAATAATGATTAAGTAAACATTTACAAACACTCTTTAACACATTTGGTAAAGTTCATAGAACATTTTTAACTTTCTACAGTCACAATTGTCATCTGTTATATATAAGATTATGATGCACCAGTGATTTATAACTTATTAACTGAACATTTTTAAATGATCATAAACACATTTGATTGATTTTTTTAAATGTAATTTAAATATTGGTGAAATGGAAGAAAAAATCTAGACAAAAAATTTACTATTTTCAAGTTATTTATTTTTTACTTTCTTTTGAATACAAGATAAACTCTACAATTATTTTATAAACCTATATTTGTCAAAGAAAGTGCATGTATGAAGGTTTGGAACCTTTGTGGGAAATCCCTGATCTGATGTAAATGTTTTGAGTTGTTTTTTGAATTCTGTGAATGAGTTAATGCTCTTGATGTGAGGGGGAAGGGAGTACCAGAGTTTGGGGGTGGTGCAGCTGAAGGCTCTACTCCCCATGGTGCTGAGACGGAAGGAGGGAGAGATGAATTGAAGAGGAGGACCTTAGGGAACGGGACGATGTGAACGAGATCTGTGAGGTAGTGAGGGGCGAGGTTATGGATGGCCTTGAAGGTGAGAAGGAGAATCTTGAAGTCAATCCTGGTGTGCACTGGAAGCCAATGGAGCTGTTTGAGGAAGGGGTGATGTGATGAGAGATGGGAGTTTTAGTGATTATACGTGCTGCTGCATTCTGAACCAACTGGAGCTTATGGAGGGTTTTCTGGGGGAGGCCTGAGAGAAGAGAGTTGCAGTAATCGATACGTGATGTAACCAGACTATGGACGAGGATAGAAGCAGAGTGGACGGTAAGGGAGGGGCGAAGATTATTAATGTTACGAAGATGGAAATAAGCTGACCGTGTGATGCTATTGATATGAGATTGGAAAGATGGTGTGCTGTCGAGGATGACACCCAAGCTCTTGACCTGGGGAGAGGGGGAAACTGAGGTATTATCAATGATAAGAGAAACTGTCAAATTTTGAGAGGGTGTTCTTGGTACCAACCAAAAGAAGTTATGTTTTGTCTGTATTTAATCTTAGAAAGTTTGAACTGAAACAGGATTTTATTTCTTGAAGGCAGGTGATGAGGGAGGAGGGAGGAAGTGCAGAATTTGGCTTACTGGACAGATAGAGCTGGGTGTCATCCGCAAAGCAGTGAAAATGAATAGTGAATCTGCAGAAAATATTGCTAAGGGGAAGGATGTATATAATGAAAAGGAGGGGTCCCAGGACAGAGCCCTGGGGCACACCAGAAGAGACAGGAGAGGATTTGAGCGGGAGGATTTGAGAGTGATGAACTGAGTGCAACCTGATAAGTAGGACTGGAACCACTGAAGAGGGATGTTAGCGATAACCTATGGAGAAGAATGGAATGAGATATTGTATCAAAGGCCGCACTCAGATCAAGGAGGACCAGGATGGATAATAGACCAGCAGCAATGAGGAGATCGTTTGTTATTTTGAGGAGGGCTGTTTCTGTGATGCGAAATGGACAGAAACCGGACTGGAAGGGTTCATAAAAGAAGTTTAGGGTCAGATGGGTGTGGCGTTCAGGGTAAGATGGGTGTGGAGTTGGGCAGCAACAATTTTTTCTACGATTTTGGAGACAAAGGGTAGGTTGGAGATGGGGTGGAGATTAGTAAAAATGTTAGGATCTGAACCAGGTTTTTTAAATATTGGAGTAACTGCAGCAGTTTTGAAAATAGAGGGAACAGTACAGGAAGAAAGGGATGCATGTATGAGAGCGGAGATGAGAGGGAGCAGGGAGGGGAGGCAGGATCTAACCAAGGCCGTGGGAAGGGGGTCAAGAAGGCAGGTAGAAGGCTTTGACTTGTGGATAATATCTGATATCTCAGAAGCACTGGGAAGTTGGAAAATGGAAAGTAACTGTGTTGGTTTGAGAGGATCTTATGGGGAGGTAGGGGTGATGCTTTAGTTGATTGCACGGTGAATGTTGATTATTTTTTCAGTAAAGAACAGAATAAGGGCATTACAAGTAGCAGTAGAGCACATATGTGGGGTAAAGAGTCAGATGGCCGTGGCATTTTATTGTTAATGGAGTACAGTGACTTAGTCTTGCCTCGATTGGAGTTGATTCGACGGGAGTAATACTGTAGTTTGGTTAGTGTAATTAAGTCCTTACACTGAGTCATATGATTTTTATATAGTTTTTGTGAATAGTGAGACCAGTTTTCCTGTAGAGCTACTCAAGCTGCCTGGATTTGGTTTTCAGTGTCTGGAGTTCAGGGGAAAACCACAGACTGACAGAAAGAAACAGAACGAGTTTTAACTGGATCAAGGGAGTTTAAACAGTGAGCTAACTGATCATTGTAGAGAGCAGCCAGGTCATCAGGAGAGGAGAGATTGTCCGGTAGCTGAATATTATCAATACAGGAGGAGAGGGTCCGACAGAACTTCCAAAATGTTCCGGGGGAGGCGGGAGGCATTGAGTCTAAATGGACCCTGTTCAGTGCCGCCATTGTTGAGGTGGCCGACTGGAGCTGTGGTCATAGGATCGTTGGTGCCTGTCATGGTGGCAACCCCCGAACCCGCTGGTGGACACCGGCGGTTAGGGATGCTGTCAAGCTAAAGAGTCCTATCAGGTCTTTTTGGCCTGTGGGACTCCAGAGGCAGCTGACGGGTACCGGCAGTCCAAGCGGAACGCGGCACGGGTGGTCGCCAAGGCAAAAACCCAGGCATGGGAGGAGTTTGGTGAGACCATGGAGTAAGACTTCCGTATGACTTTGAGGAGATTCTGGTCCACCATCTGGCGCCTCAGGCGGGGAAAGCAGTGCGCTACCAACACTATCTATAGTGGGGGCGGTGTGCTGCTGACCTCTACTCAGGACGTTGTGGATCGGTGGGCAGAATACTTCGAAGACCTCCTCAATCCCACCGACACCTCTTCCAGTGAGGAAGCAGAGTCTGGGGACTTTGGGTTGGCCTCTCAAATCTCTGGTGCTGAGATCACTGAGGTGATTAAAAAGCTCTTCTGTGGCAAGGCTTCAGGGGTGAGATCCGCCCGGAGTTCCTTAAGGCTCTGGATGTTGTGGGGCTGTGTTGGCTGACGCGGCTCTGCAATATCATGTGGACATCGGGGGCAGTCCCACTGGACTGGCAGACTGGGGTGGTGGCCCCCTTATTTAAAAAGCGGGACTGCAGGGTGTGTTCCAACTACAGGGGGATCACACTCCTGAGCCTTCCTGGTAAGGTCTATTCAGGGGATCTGGAGAGGAGAGTCTGTCGGATTGTTGAACCTCAGATTCAGGAGGAGCAATGTGGTTTTCGTCCTGGCCGTGGAACACTGGACCAGCTCTGTACCCTTAGGGGGATCCTGGAGGGTGTGTGGGAATTTGCCCAACCAGTCTACATGTGTTTTGTGGTTTTGGAGAAGGCGTTTGACCGCGTCCCTCAGGGGGCCCTGTGGGGGGTACTCCGGGAGTATAGGGTATCAGGCCCCCTGATACGGGCTGTTAGGACCCTGTATGACCGGTGTCAGAGCTTGGTCCGCCTTACCGACAGTAAGTTGGGCTCGTTCCCAGTGAGAGGTGGACCAAGGCCAAGGCTGCCCTTTGTCACCGATTCTGTTCATAAAGAAGCTCGGTCATTCGGGAGAGGCTCGGAGTCGACCCTCTGCTCCTTCACATCGAGAGGAGCCAGTTGAGGTGGCTCGGGCATCTGGTCAGGATGCCTCCTGGACACCTCCCTGGTAAGATTTTCCGGGCACATCCTACAGGGAGGAGACCTAAAGGTAGACCCAGGACACCCAGGAATAACATTGGTCTACATAACGGAGGTTAGGCCCATTCAACAGTCCAGTCAACAATCCGATAGTGCCAGTCCAACATAGAAAATCAACGTTGACCGGTGAGCAGCGGCAGCCAAACGCACCAGCGTTCACTCAACTGGATACCAGCTACCCTCTCGTTCACTGGGGTAAACCCCAACATACAGGCACCAAGATGGAGGGCAACTAGTATGCCCACCCCTGCTCGGCGCTTTTCAGTGGGATCAGCTCCATAGTGGTAGAAAGTTCTACCCCTCTCAAGGAAACTGGTTCTGGAGCTAGAGCATGCATTGAGGTGAGTCTATGTCTAGTCGAAACCTCTCAGCTTCACACACCACCAACTCAGGCTCCTTCCCCACCAGAGAGGTGACATTCCATGTGCCAAGAGCCAGCTTCTGTAGCCAAGGATTAGACGGCCAAGGTCCCCGCCCTCTACTACCACCCATCACACACTGTACCCGACCCCTTTGGTCCCTCCCACAAGTGGTGAGCCCATGGGAAGGGGGACCCACGTTTCCTCTTCGGGCTGTGCCGGGCTGGGCTCCAAGGGTAAAAGCCTGGCCACCAGGCGCTCGCCAACATGCGTTGAATCCTATACTGAACGGGAAGCCAGTGAAGGGAAGCAAGCACCGGAGTTATGTGATCACGCCTCCTTGTACCTTTTAGCAAATGAGCTGCTGCATTTTGGACGAACTGCAGACGATGCAAGGTGGAGTGTTCTAGCCCATAATAGAGGGAGTTGCAGTAGTTCAGCTGACAAGAAATAAACAAATGGATAACTTGCTCCAAAACTGTTGCTGGTAGATATTTTCTACCCTTGCCAGTTGCCTAAGTGATAGAAGCCAGACTTTTCACACAGCCTTCAGACGCAGAATTCTCCAAGCATGTTGGAGGGGCAAACGACACATGGAGAAGTGGTGTCCTCCTTATGTTAAAGTAAACAAAGATGGCAGTGAGAAATGTTGCTTTTGGAGACTCTGACTCTGATATTGCTTCCTGCTCTCTCTCCCAGTGAGACAGCGCTGTGCACACACACTGTCTCAGAGAGAGAGAGAGAGAGAGAGAGAAAGAGAGAGAGAGAGAGAGAGAGAGAGAGAGAGAGGAGAGGAGAGAGAGAGAGAGAGAGAGAGAGAGAGGAGAGGAGAGAGAGAGAGAGAGAGAGAGAGAGAGCTGGCACTGCAACTCAGAAGAGATGGTTACTCCACAGTATCTAGAATAATAATGAATTGCCCACTGATTCCACCTGCCAAACGGAGGCTCCCACTAAAGGTATGCATGAATTTTAGCCGGCCAATCAGCCGGCAGTGGGTGTGTAGGGTCACATTAGCCCCAGCCGGAGTGGCGGGGAGGAGGTCTGAAAAAAAGTTTGGCTGAACACACAAAAAAAATGCAGGCTACCCAGATGTGACCCAGGCAGTTTAGATGTAAAAGCACTATTTATTTAGAATGAACATCATGTTTATGTTTATTCATTTAGCAGATACTTTTACCCAAAGCAACTTACATTTCATATGTAATTCTAATATGCATGCATTTGGTCCTTGGGAGGAAGCTGAAGCTTCTGGTGGAAATCCACACATGCATTCATAGAACATGCTAACTGCACTTTGGAGAGGCCAAAGCCGGGGTTTGAACCTTCAACATTCTTGCTGTGAGATTGGGTGCGACATAACAGCACCTGTCACCTTCACTGCACTTATTGTTATGGCAAACAGCTGAAAATGTTTTCTATAATAATGTGAGAGGTTCTTCATTCTTATGTCCTCTTCAAAACAAAACATGTTTCATATATTCTCTTATCTGTATCCTTTGATCGTTTTCCTTCTCTTTTTCCAGGGAATAAGTAGCCTCTTCAGCTCACTGAAAGTGGTGCGTCTGCTGCGTTTAGGACGAGTTGCCAGGAAGCTGGACCACTACATTGAGTACGGCGCTGCGGTTCTGGTTTTGCTGGTGTGTGTGTTTGGCCTGGCAGCCCACTGGCTGGCCTGTATCTGGTACAGCATCGGAGACTACGAGGTGATTGATGAGGACACAAACAGTGTGAGGTCGGACAGCTGGCTGTACCTGTTAGGAGAGACTGTGGGGACACCTTACAGATTCAACGTGTCAGGCTTGGGCCGCTGGGAGGGGGGCCCCACCAAAGACTCTTTATACATCTCCTCGCTGTACTTCACCATGACCAGTCTAACCAGCATCGGATTTGGAAACATTGCACCAAACACGGATGGAGAGAAGCTCTTTGCTGTTGCTATGATGATGATTGGATGTGAGTCCCAATTTTTTCATTTAGCTCTCTGGAGCAAAGTTGTTCCTGAATGTTTCAAACCTGAGTGTTAAACCTTAACTTTATATTAAAATCTTTATACGGCTTCTAAATTGGGCAGCAGTAGCTCAACAGGTTGAGCGGGTTGTCCAGAAATCAGAAGGTTGCAGGTTCGATCCTGGCTCCGGACAGAGAATTCTGCTGTTGTGTCCTTGGGCAAGACACTTAACCCACCTTGCCTGCTGGTGGTGGTCAGAGGGACCGGTGGCGCCTGTGCTCGGCAGCCTCGCCTCTGTCAGTGTACCCTAGGGCAGCTGTGGCTACATCGTAGCTCATCATCATCAGTGTGTGAATGTGTGTGTGAATGGATGAATGATACACTGTAGTGTAAAGCGCTTTGGAGTCCTTACTCTGAGAAGCGCTATACAAGTGCGGGTCATTTATCATTTAAATAACAAGTCGTGGACAAAGATAAATAAAGATTTTATAATTTTATCATAATGGGTATCAAAGGATAATTTGCCATTATTATTACAGCTATGAGTCCTATGGTCTCTGGGTGTGTGAACTGAGTGGTTTTAGACTTCTGTGAACAGTGGGACCTATGGAGTCCTCTGAGAGGGCTGCTTTTCCATTTCCCCCAGACAGAGACATGCTTATTTCTTAGCTGGGTTTAATCTGTTTAATTTTCCTTAGGGACCCAAAAAACTCCGCAGTTCAGAGACATTCATTTGAGCTTTAATGGTGGCAACGCCCTGGACTCTACCATGTTGAGGCTGCACTCCTTGTGGTCCCACAAGGAGGCCAACAAACTGTACTTTCGACCTGCACCACTGACCTTTTGTGAGGGAGATTTTCATACATGCAGCTGTGAGCTGACCCATGACATATATGGTCCAGCCCAGACAGGTGTCCAAAGACTGTTTACGAATCAGAATATCATCGCCGTAGATGATGGTGCCTTGCTCATGAGCGTCGGGCCAGGCTTTGCCCAAGAAAACGTTGAATTCAGAGGGTGAGTTAGAGTAGCCAAATGGGCACTATGTGAAGGTGTATTGGCGGTTGGCGAAGGTTAAGGCTAATTTATTTTGGTCAGACTCATTGACAGGAATTGTCCAGAACTTAGACGCAATGTCAAGGGTAGAAAAGCATTTAGCATCTCTCACCTTCAGAAGTTCTTGATCCAGACAGGCCATTGGCCACTGAGACAATGGAACCTGTTGGTTAAATTTTCTGTAGTCAATGGTTAGTCTCTACTCACCATTAGGTTTCCTCACCGGCCACAATGGAGCCGAGTAGGTGCTGTTACAGGGTCAAATGATACCCTTTTCTAATATGCTGTCAATGATTTTCTGGATGGGTACATAGGATGCCAGAGGAATTTTGTATTGATGCACAAAGGTTGGCGGCGCATGTGGTGGTATAGGAATCCTTACCTCATAGATCGTAGTCAACCCGCAATCTAGGCAGTCGACTGAAAAAGAGTCTTTGTATTTTAGTAGGAGCTTACATTGTTTGTCCAGATTGACTTGATTCATGAGAGCACCTGCCTGCCCCACGACCTGTTCGACCTGTGAGAGAATATCGGAGGGTGGTTCGGAAGGATGCTGTGTTGGCGGTCCTGGAGGGGCTGAGCTCGGCGGGGAGCCTGCAGGTTCCCCATGCTCAGGGCCACCTACAGCAAAACAGTGCTTGTGAAGAAAAAAAATACAATTTGGAATAGATAAGAATAGCTTTTTAGAATACCACTAAATTAAATCTGTAGTCAAACAAAAAATTAAGCTCACTAAAATAGAATTACAAACACCACCAAGGGTATTAGACTTCTATAATCTCAAACCCCCTAAACTACTGTCTAAAGTATATAAGACTGTCCAAAATAGACGATAGAATAGCAATCCCTATTGAAAAATGGGAGGTGGATCTATCAATCAGCTTTGACCAGAACTTCTGGTCCCAAACTTGTTTAAAAACTTTTAAAATGATCAGACACCCCAATTTACAATTAATTCAGTACAAAATTCTACACAGAGTACACTATACAGGTCATTGGATGTTCAAGATGGGGTTTGTGTCGTCTGACACCTGTACACACTGCACAAACAACATTCCTGACAATTACATTCACACACTGTGGTCCTGGCCACCTGTCCAGGAATTTTGGGGTAGAGTATGTGAAGACCTGTCAAAGTGTCTGAAATGTCATATCCCAACCGCCCCCTCTCTATTTTTTACTGTGAAACCTGGACGACGTCCTGATTGAAACATCTGTAGTTCACGTGGTTCTGACTGCCATATGCATCGCTAAGAAATCTATCCTCTTGAATTGGAAAAATAGAGATACCCTTTGCATCAACCAGTATAGAAATCATTTGTTAGATCATATTACACTTGATATAGCCTCTGCTTCCACTTCAAATCGATATATACCTTCATTTTATGTGCCATTTGTATTTTATATTTGTAGACGATTCTCCAAGAGCAGCAACACTCACAAGATACCTAGGAGAGATGATTGTTAAGGACCTCCAGCATATGTCCATAGTGGAGGATCAAGGTTTCCAATAATTTGTGAGAGCTCTTGACCCAAAATACAAACTTCCAGGAAGGAAGAAACTAACTGAGACTGTTCTTGTAAATATGTTCACAGAATGTAAAGAAAAAGTAAGAGCATCTTTGAAAAATGCTTCCAGTGTTGTACTAACCTCTGATATGTGGACATCAGTGTCCACAGAGGCATATTTGACCGTAACATGCCATCTCATTGAAAATTGGCAAATGAGGGAATTTGTGTTGGAAACCCATACTTTCCATGGAACACACACAGCAGATAATATCAGATTAGAGCTAAAGCGAATCACAGAAGAATGTGGCATTACTGAGAAGGTGGTGGCAGTTGTTACAGACAACGGTGCAAATATGGTTGCTGCAGTACACAAGGCTGGTTGGAGGCATCATCCTTGTTTTGCACATACACTGAATCTAATTGTAAAAGACAGTCTAAAAGCTGTCCCTGAAGTTGTGCAGGTCCTGGAAAAATGCAGTGCAATTGTGTCATATTTTCACCACAGCAGTAAGGCCACAGAGAAGCTCAGAGATATTCAACAACAGTTGAAAGTGGCAGAACACAAGCTAATTCAGTCAGTAGAAACCCGCTGGAACTCTGTCTATTAGATGCTGGAAAGGCTTTGTGTGCAAAATGAAGCCATGACCACTGTCCTCTGCCTTTTAGGGAAGAACACGTTGTGCTTGAATCAGGGAGAATTGTCCCTCATCAAGCAGATAGTTGATGCACTACAGCCATTTGAAGAAGTAACACGGGAAGTTTAATCTGAAAAACATATTTCAGTATCCAAGGTGATTCCACTTGTGTCACTCATTCACAGAGCTGTATCAGCTTGTGAACATCAGAGCAACTCACTTGCCACACAGCTGGCACAGCAATGCCAGCGCAGATTCAGGGGTGTTGAAACCATTCACTGTCTAGCTGCCAGCACATTTGTGGATGTTAGGTTGAAACATTTTGGTTTTCGAGACAAAGACAATGTTGAGGTTATGAAAAAACGTCTTTGTGCTGAAATGCAGGAAGTCTATCAGGCAGGACAGTCAGCTGTCCCTCCAACTCCATGTTCAGTCTCCACTGCTTGTTCTACCTCAGAACCTTCTGCTTCAGTACCTTCTACCTCAGGGTATAACCAGAGCCCTACAGCATCAGGTTCAACTGCAACAAAAGGAGGGATATGGACAGATTTTGACAAGCAGGTTATGTCTAACCAACACCATCGCTCTGCTTCCACTGATGTATTAATTGAAGTACGTCGATACTCAGAGGAAAAATTAATTCGTCGAGATAAGGATCCACTACTTTGGTGGCAGGAGCATGGACAAACCTTTCCAGCACTGAGTAAACTTGCAGTAAGATACCTGGGAATTGTTGCTTCTTCAGTACCTGCTGAGAGAATCTTTTCAAAGGCGGGAGAGGTTTTGAGAAAAAAAAGGAGCAGACTCAAAGGGAAAACAGTGAATATGCTGTTGTTTCTCAACAAAAACCTGTAATGTAAGTTGAGTTGAGATGTCTCTTAAGCAACTTTTCAATGTTGTTGGTTAATCATTTATAAATAAAGGAGGAGAAAGAGTAGTGAAATTTGTGTTTTATTTAAAGCTAAAATGTAAATATATTACTTTGTCTTTTAATTTTTCAAACAAAAAATCTTTAAGCAAAGTATCGGTATCTGTATCGCCGATACTGGACCCAATTTTACTTGGTATCGGATCGGAAAGGAAATCAGTGGTATCGCACATCCCTACTCTGAGTTGCAAAGTTGGCTAAACAACTCACAGCTGCTCTTGATGAACATAACATCTATGATAGCTTCCAGTCAGGTTTTCGTAGAGCTCATTCTACTGAAACAGCTCTTCTTAGGGTCTCTAATGACCTTCTGACTCACAGTGATGCAGGGGACTGTTCTGTTTTGGTCCTGCTGGATCTGACTGCAGCCTTTGACACTGTTGACCATCACCTGCTACTGGAGAAGCTGAGAGACTGGGTAGGCCTATCAGGATCTGCTCTGGAGTGGTTCTCCTCTTATCTCTCTGAGCGCTCCTTTTCTGTGGCCGTCTCCAAGTTTAGGTCCTCCACCACCTCTCTTACCCATGGTGTCCCACAAGGTTCTGTGCTGGGGCCTCTACTCTTCCTCCTCTATCTGCTTCCTCTTCAGCACATCCTGAGCTCCTTCAAAGGAATCTCTTACCATCTTTATGCAGATGACATCCAACTGTACATCTCCTTTAAGCCCCATGAGATGTCTAAGCTGCAGCTGTTATACACCTGCTTAGACTCTACCAAAACCTGGATGGCTAGGAGCTTTCCACAGCTGAATGAAGATAAGACTGAGATCCTCATCTGTGCCCCAGACAAGCTGGTTCCCAAAGTCAGAGACTCTCTTGGTCAGCTTGCTTCTCACACCAAACCTTCCGTCAGGAATCTTGGCATGACCTTTGACCCAGCTCTCACCCTGGATTCTCATGTCAGCTCTCTTGTTCGCTCTTCCTTCTTCCATCTCAGGAACATTGCTAAGCTGAGTCCCATTCTGTTCCGCTCTGAACTTGAGACTGTTCTCCACACCTTCATCTCCTCATGCTTAGATTACTTGTCATGAATCCCGTCCTTCACCCTCCTCCACTTCCTCACTATACCTTCATTCAGCTCACCTGGTCCCTTCACCAAGCTCAAGCCAAGCCCTGGTTTCCACAGCAACCTGACCTACACCTCATCAGCTTCATCCACTTCACCTGCTCCTCACTCATCAGCTCATCTTACACACCTGCTTCCCCTACTATATATTCACCAGCAAACCACCAGTTCCCTGCCAGATTATTACAGCCTTGCCAGTAGTTCTCCAGCCATCCACCCTGCCTGATCTTTGCCTCTGGACCTTGTTTTTTGCCTGACCCCTGCCTTGCTCTCTGCCTGCCACTTTGACCTTAGCCTGCCTCTGAACCTGCCTCAGCCTTGCCCTCCAGGTACCTCTGCTTTAAATAAAGACATTTTTAAATATATTTTTACTGTGTTGGCGTCTTCACGGGTCTTCTGAACTCGGTTCCTGACAGAATAATCTGGCCTAACTCTGACCCTACGCCGACACAGCACTTTGGAGTATTTTTTCCCTTCATACCTGTCATGGAGTATCTCACGCTCCTGGACTTCATGGAACTAGAGAAGGAGCAGACGTCACCGTTCTGGGGAACGCGGCTGGCCATCAGGCCACAGCCACACAGAGGTTTCACTCCTCCATCCAGGCCTGCTGCGGCCGTCTTGCGCAATGGGTACCTGACAACGCAACAGTGGCAGTCCCGGAGACCTTCTACTAATTCATGGCCTTCACAGACGCAAGGTTTTGCAGCTACGCCGCTCAAGCCTCGAGTCCCTCCGTCGCATCCACGTCCAGCGGTGGTCCCAGAGGTCGCACCACATCCTCGTCCAGCAGAGATTCCACCTTCGCCTGTCCGAGAGGCTCCGCCTGTCCAGGTCCAGCGGTAGTTCCCGGGGTCGCATCGCATCCATGTCCAGCGGTGGTCCCAGGGTCCGCACCACATCCATGTCCAGCAGGGGTCCCACCTCCATCGGTCCTGCTCCACCGGTGGTCCCGAAGGTCGCGCCGCATCCTGCTCCAGTGGTGGTCCCGAAGGTCGCGCCGCATCCTGTCCCGGCGGTGGTCCCGAAGGTCGCGCCGCATCCTGTCCCGGCGGTGGTCTCGGGGGACGCACCGCATCCTGCCTTGGCGGTGGTCCGGGAGGTCGCATCGCATCCTGCTCAGGTGGTGGTCCGGGAGGACGCATCGCATCGTGCTCTGGCGGTGGTCCGGGAGGAAGCATCGCATCCTGCTCTGGCTGTGGTCCCGGGGGACGCATCGCATTCTGCTCTGGCGGCGGTCCCGGAGGACGCATCGCATCCTGCTCTGGCGGTGGTCCAGGAGGATGCATCGCATCCTGCTCTGGCAGTGGTCTGGGAGGACGCATCGCATCCTGCTTCGACGGTGGTCCGGGAGGACGCATCGCATCCTGCTTCGACGGATGAGTTCCAAGAGGATGCATCGCATCCTGCTTTGACGGATGAGGTCCAAGAGGCCCCGGCTCCGGCCCTGCCCATCCAAGGGGCTCAGGTAAAGCCTTTCCACGAGCCTCCAGTCCAAGGGTCGACGCCTCCAGGCTCTGAAGTAGACATCTCTGGTTCCTGCTCTGAAGAGGACGTCTCCTGCTCTAAAGTTCCCCTGTCTCAAGTTCCAGAGTCTACGTCCCCACAAGTCCCCGAGTCTGTGTCCCCTCTTAGTCGTCCTCCTCTAGTGTCCCCTCTTAGTCGTCCTCCTTTAGTGTCCCCTCTTAATCGTCCTCCTCTAGTGTCCCCTCTTAGTCCTCATCCCCCAGTGTCCTCTATCACCACACTCCTACAGTCCCGGCTCCTGGTTCCCCGTCGCCGGCCCCCCAGACTCTCACAGTCCAGGCTCCTGGTTCCCCGTCGCCGGCCCCCCAGACTCTCACAGTCCAGGCTCCTGGTTCCCCGTCGCCGGTCCCCCAGGCTCTCACAGTCCAGGCTCCTGGTTCCCCGTCGCTGTCCCCCCAGGCTCCAACAGTCCAGGCTCCTGGTTCCCCGTCGCCGGCCCCCCAGGCTCCAACAGTCCAGGCTCCTGGTTCCCCGTCGCCGGCCCCCCAGGCTCCAACAGTCCCAGCTCCTGGTTCCCCGTCGCCAGCCCCCCAGGCTCCAACAGTCCCAGCTCCTGGTTCCCCATCGCCGGCCCCCCTGACTCTTCTGGCCCTCCTTCCTGGTCCCCCCTCCTCCCGCCCTGCTCTGGCCCTCCTTCCTGGTCCCCCTCCTCCTGCCCTGCTCTGGTTTCCTGTGGGCGTCTGGTATCCGCCCTTGAGGGGGGGGGGGGGGGGGGGGCTCTGTCATGAATCCCGTCCTTCACCCTCCTCCACTTCCTCATTATAGCTTCATTCAGCTCACCTGGTCCCTTCACCTAGCTCAAGCCAAGCCCTGGTTTCCACAGAAACCTGACCTACACCTCATCAGCTTCATCCACTTCACCTGCTCCTCACTCATCAGCTCATCTTACACACCTGCTTCCCCTACTATATATTCACCAGCAAACCACCAGTTCCCTGCCAGATTATTACAGCCTTGCCAGTAGTTCTCCAGCCATCCACCCTGCCTGATCTTTGCCTCTGGACCTTGTTTTTTGCCTGACCCCTGCCTTGCTCTTTGCCTGCCACTTTGACCTTAGCCTGCCTCTGAACCTGCCTCAGCCTTGCCCTCCAGGTACCTCTGCTTTCAATAAAGACTTTTTTAAATATATTTTTACTGTGTTGGCGTCTTCACGGGTCTTCTGAACTCGGTTCCTGACACTACTGTAACTCTCTTTTCACGTGTCTGAGCAGAACCTCCCTAACAGTCTACAGGTGGTTCAGAATGCCTGTGCTCGGCTTCTGACCAAGTCCTCCAAACACACCCACATCACCCCGCTTCTCCTCCAGCTTCACTGGCTGCCAGTCAACTTCAGGGTTCATTTCAAGATCCTGGTTCTGGTCTATAGGGTCTTACATGGACAAGCACCACCTTACATTGGTGATCTTAGTCCCTACACCCCCAGCAGGTCCCTGAGGTCCAGTGATCAAAGCCTACTGGTTGTGCAGCACCAGGCTAAAGACCAAAGGTGACAGATTATTTGCTGCTGTGGCCCCCAGACTCTGGACCTCTCTCCCCCTGAGCCTGAGATCAGTGGACTCAGTGGTCTCCTTCAAAAAGCAGCTGAAGACTCACTTGTTCAAGCTGGCTTTTGTATGACCTTCTTCACCACTCTCTTTATTTGGCTCTCCCCACCTATCCCACCTTCCTCAGGATCCACTGATTTCCCTCTTTCCTATTCACTCTCTCTCTTTCTTAACATTTTTTTTTGGGTCGCAGTTGCTTATTCTTGCTCATTTAAAATATATTTTTAAACATTGTCAAATGCTTTTTTTCTATTTTTACAATTTTTATATTTTTTGTTTTTGTTTTTGTGAAGCGCCTCATGATTTTTATCTTGAGAGGCGCTATTGAAATGATATTTTCTTCTTCTTCTTCTTCAAAACACTCAGAACCATACATTAATGCGCTGTGATTGCCACCTAGTGGCAGAACAATAAAACTACAGGCAAACATCAATGTAAAAAACCCCTGCACTAATCTGAAAATAAGTCAAATATAACAGTCTTTGCTACACTTCACCTTTAACATCTGAAGTAGTAATTGGTTTGATGTATTTCTTAATTGTTTTTGCTTCACCATGGTCTAAATGATTTCCACCAAACATCTTTAAACAAGTATGATTTTTGTAAAGAGAAACTAATCAAAATAAGAGTTTAAACATTAAACTAACTTTTAAACATCTCTGATCTTTGCAGCTCTTCTGTATGCCACCATCTTTGGTAATGTCACCACCATCTTCCAGCAGATGTATGCAAACACCAATCGTTACCACGAGATGCTTAACAGCGTGCGAGACTTCCTGAAACTTTACCAGGTTCCCAAAGGCCTCAGTGAGCGAGTGATGGACTACATCGTATCTGCGTGGTCCATGACCAGAGGCATCGACACCGACAAGGTAGCTCATCAACCAGCATCAGAGCATTTGTAAAACTGTTGCCTACTGATGGTGTCATGGCACCTTGGGTGGACTGATTACTGAACAAGTCTAAGGGCCGTGATATACTTGCTGTTTAATGGCATAAACATGTGTTTAAAATGGCTGCCATGCATTATTTGTGTTGATTTGAAGTGCCATTTGAGTATGTCCCCCGAAATTAACTCAACGCGTCTGAATGCTGCAAAATACAAGGAACCAGTAGGTGGAATTGACAAAAAGGGGTGAGCCACACTCACCATGGTGACTCCGTCTCTGATTTAGAGGTCTACCATACCATCTACGGTACCGCTGCTCTCATTTTTTCTGTCGTGACTTAAAATAAACCAGTTACTGATCTATTGACATCCTGTTTATTATGGTTGTACCCACAAACCCGGCTCTCTATCCGGTCTGAGTAGTCTAGTGTGCCCCCTAGTGGAACACTCCAGTACTACATGCTGTGCAGCAGCAAGTTTGTGAACAAAGACGCAGCCTACTGCCTGCACCAACGTGAGGTTAAACAGCAAGTATATCATGGCCCTATTTGTGTCAGACTGATTGTTTTGTTTCTGTGAGCCCTAGGAACTGTATCTCTGACAGATAGTGTTTTCTCTCAGAAATAATTATTCATCCACTGACAAGTTTGCTGATATCTTGTTGTTTAATGAATAGACAAGCTGTAAACCGGTGTCCCTCAATAGGCTGACCCAGGGGCGGATTAAGGACTGAGTAAGATCCGGGGCTTAACACACACACGTGACACGCACTAGTCAATATCATATATTATATGTCTTGTACCACATAATTTTTAATCTGAAGCTACATATTAAGCATATTCAGGGCAGAGTATTGTTCCTGTTAGTGTTTAGTGTGAGATGATAGTAAATATTCCCTTTCTTTCTCCATCAACTTTACCTGATAGTAAGCTAACTTTAGGCAAACCAGCAGCACAACAAATATTTTCAAATAAGACTCACAAACCTGAGTCAACACCAGTCTCATCAAAGCTGGGGTTCTGTCGCGGTACTTTTGGTCTAAAAAACGTCCTTATGTCCATCTTCACTCATGCGTTTCAGGCAGAGTGTAGAAGAAACCAGGCACTGCAGAAGAAGTCGGCTGCTGAAGGGCTTCTTCTTCAGTGGTGGAGGCTCAGACAGGCTGTATACAAACTACTGCTAGCTGCTCCCTCTCTGTTGGACTTTGGTACTGCATATTACTTCCACGTTTGAGATCCGGGGCTTTTCATTAAAGATTTGGGCCTTGAGCCCAAGTAGCCGGGCCTAACGCCGCCCCTGGGCTGACCACTGCCCCCATGTCAGCTCCACAATAGAGCAAAGGTACAGTCCTCTCCGTGTTATAAACACAGTCACTCACATTACCACTGCTCATCTGTGTGAGCGATGCATTTTATTTTCAATTTTGGAGCAGCTTGTTCATTGATTATTCATCGGCAGTTTTTTGGATGGGAAAAAAGTGACATGTTCTAAATTCTCGGCTAAAAGAAAAGCGGATAATGAAAATAGACAGAACACTTTGCATCTATTATTTCTCCATCCAGCACCAGACCCATGTGCTTAATTTACGAAGAGACCATAGCAGTGATAAAGGTTTCCAATTTGAAATGGCATCATGAAACCAACCACAAGACTTTTGAAGATACATTTCCTCAAAAATCTGAGGTAAGAACAGAAAAAAAAATGACATCCTATTATGCCGCAAGCAGGATTTTAGTCACATCTGTGCATATTAGCCAGCAAGCCTGGACTCCAGGTCATTCCCCACAGACACACAGCAGACAATGACTGAGTCATCCGAGAACTTCTGGAGGTTACAGCTGTTGATGTTGTAGGCAAAGTCCGAGGTGTAGAAGAAAGGGAGAGAGCACCGCACCCTGTGGAGATCCAGTACTGCACTGTAACGTGATGTAATTGGTTACATTTAATAAATTGTCAATAGAATATAAAGGTATTCAATAAAATGTAATATTCCACGATGTGACAAGGTGAGTATCCTCACCATATCCTGACTGATCATGCGCCCTGGCTACTTGGCCACAGAGATGTCTCTTTGGCTGACTGGTCAGCACACGTGAATCTCACCTGGGAGTCTGAGGATTATATCCTGCCTGTGTTCTCGTTACTCCGCCTTGCCACAGTAAAAATATGGATTAACAATATTATTGACCCTTTAATATTTGATTGCTGTTGAAACCAGTTAATTTGGGAAACGCCAGGGAAAGCACATCTTCATAATAATTCGAGATAAAGCCAAAAATAAAGTTTATAAACATCAATTTAATGCTATATTTCTACTACTAATGATGATACATAATAAATTATGATAAATGACGGTTTAACAATATAGCTGAGGCAATGAATGAAATGATGAAATGTGAGCTTACCTTTACTTGATTTTTAAAACTCATAATCATTTTAGCTTTAAACACCACGCTGATGTGAAAATCACTTCAAAACATTTTCCTATTCAAATATTACATGGAGTCATACATTTTAATTAAACATCACATAAAATCATACTTAAGATCATTTTTATCAGCTTTTAAGCATAAAAGTGTGTGTTTTGCTCTCCTCCACGTGTCAAGCGAGAAGGTGACTCAACTCATTTCGCCTGGTTTTCCACACTCACTTGTCCCTGCTTAACTTGATTTCCCTTTGACTTGGTTGTCTGCAGGTGCTGGAAATTTGTCCCAAGGACATGCGGGCTGACATCTGCGTCCATCTTAACAGGAAGGTGTTTAAGGAACACCCGGCCTTTCGGCTGGCCAGCGACGGCTGCCTGCGGGCTCTTGCTATGGAGTTCCAGACCATCCACAGTGCACCGGGCGACTTGATCTACCACGCTGGAGAGAGTGTGGACAGTCTTTGCTTTGTGGTGTCGGGGTCATTGGAGGTCATCCAGGATGATGAAGTGGTGGCTATTTTAGGTGAGAAGCTTTCAAGTTACATTTCATTTCCAGAAAATGGAAGTGTCATGTTTTGAGGAAGGGACTTAACCCAAGACATGCAGAATCACTCACGGGACAACAGGTAAGGGGTTTAAAACCATTTATTATGAAAGGTTCACCAAAGGTGAACTGACAAATGTCAGTGGGCAGGACTGCAGATCCGTGCAGCATCTGGGAGAAAGCAGAGTCTTTATGAATCTAAGGCTAGTCGTGAGTCAAAAGAATAACCCCAATTTCACACTGAAAGCATCAGCGGCGCGGAACGGCAGCATAACATCACTGCTTCAAATAGAACCCATAATAGTCTATGGAGTGTTTCAAGCTAATGTACCACATGACACACGTATTTCAGGGAAGTCATTGACCTGTTGTCAAACTAAATGCAATGATATGACTCGCAAAAATGTGACGTTTAAAAACATGAACAGTCTTCTTTTGAGCCTAAATCAATCCTGCACTGAACCTGCAGGGTAACGTTTCCCTACGCTCAGGCAGTGGGGCTTCTGGATTTTCCTCATTGACCTGAAACACTCGGACGGACCTCACCGTGACCTCTCCTGACTGCCCATGACCCATGACCTTAACTTATCACTCCAATACTGTTTCCTTGTTGAGTTAACTTAGGCTAGTAGAGAGCTAGCATGTAGCATCTATAGTAACTCAGGGAAGAAGAAGAGAAAAAAGTATCATTTCTATAGCGCCTCTCAAGATAAAAATCACGAGGCGCTTTACAAAAACAAAAAATATAAAAAAGAATTTAGAAAATGTTTAAAAATATATTTAAAATGAGCAAAAATAGGCAATTGTGGTTAAAAAATTGTAAAGAAAGAGATAGAGAGAGAGAGAACAGGAAAGAGGGAAATCAGTGGATCCTGAGGAAGATGGAATAGGTGGGGAGAGCAGAATAAAGAGAGAGAGGTGAAGAAGGTCATACAAAAGCCAGCTTGAACAAGTGAGTCTTCAGCAGCATTTTGAAGGAGACCACTGAGTCCACTGATCTCAGGCTCAGGGGGAGAGAGGTCCAGAGTCTGGGGGCCACAGCAGCAGATGATCTGTCACCTTTGGTCTTTAGCCTGGTGCTGCACAACCAGTAGGCTTTGGTCACTGGACCTCAGGGACCTGCTGGGGGTGTAGGGACTGAGAAGATCACCAATGTAAGATGGTGCTTGTCCATGTAAGGCCCTATAGACCAGAAGCAGGATCTTGAAATGAACCCTGAAGTTGACTTGCAGCCAGTGAAGCTGGAGGAGAAGCGGGGTGATGTGGGTGTGTTTGGAGGACTTGGTCAGAAGCCGAGCACAGGCGTTCTGAACCACCTGTAGACGGTTCAGGGAGGTTCTGCTCAGACACGTGAAAAGAGAGTTACAGTAGTCTAAGCGTGAGGAGATGAAGGTGTGGATAACTGTCTCAAGTTCAGAGCGGGACAGAATGGGACTCAGCTTAGCAACGTTCCTGAGATGGAAGAAGAAAGAGCGAACAAGAGAACTGACATGAGAATCCAGGGTGAGGGCTGGGTCAAAGGTCACGCCATGATTCCTGACAGAAGGTTTGGTGTGAGAAGCAAGCTGACCAAGAGAGTCTCTGACTTTGGGAACCAGCTTGTCTGGGGCACAGATGAGGATCTCAGTCTTATCTTCATTCAGCTGTAGAAAGCTCCCAGCCATCCAGGTTTTGATAGAGTCTAAGCAGGTGTGTAACAGCTGCAGCTTAGACATCTCATGGGGCTTAAAGGAGATGTACAGTTGGATGTCATCTCAAATCAAATCAAAACAACTTTATTTATACAGCACTTTTCATACAAAAAATGCAACTCAAAGTGCTTCACAGATTAAAATGGCCCCATAGATCCCATATTCCCATCCCAGCCCCCCTCCCCAACTATAAAACAATTGACGATTACGGTTCCCCTTCCGCACCCAACTTCCAAGGTGGACATACAATCACCCGTACACTCGCACACGCACACGCACACACACACACACACACACACACACACACACACACACACACACACACACACACACACACACACACACACACACACACACACACACACACACACGTGAACAACAGAGTAAACAATAGGCTGAGTTCAGATGGGTCAGGCAATGAACGACACATCGTCAGCGGAGCTATCTGCCCTGATAGTAACAGATCCACGTCAGCAGCCAAGACACTGGCCCATGACGCCCAGGGGGGGAGGGCAGAAACCCCCACCACTGCCCGGGCACTACCCGAGGAGCGCCCCGGCCGCCGCCGCTGACCTCCGGCCCCAAGGCAGAGGGCTCCGCAGAGGAAACACTGGAGGATTAAAATATATAACTGTAAAATAACAAAAGCTAATATGGATAGAAAGTAACTGATAAAAATTGATGGTAAAGATAGTAAAAGAAAACATTCATGTAAAAACACTAAGATGTAAATAAAATGATAAAATTAATTAAAAGAGATAAATAGGTATATATATATATATATATATATATATATATATATATATATATATATATATATAAATAAACAAATATGACAGGTGATACAGTTAGACTAGATAAATAGTAATCATCTATCTACCTATCTATCAATCATCTGCATAAAGATGGTAGGAGATTCCTTTGAAGGAGCTCAGGATGTGCTGAAGAGGAAGCAGATAGAGGAGGAAGAACAGAGGCCCCAGCACAGAACCTTGTGGGACACCATGGGTAAGGGAGGTGGTGGAGGACCTAAACTTGGAGACGGCCACAGAAAAGGAGCGCTCAGAAAGATAAGAGGAGAACCACTCCAGAGCAGATCCTGATAGGCCTACCCAGTCTCTCAGCCTCTCCAGTAGCAGGTGATGGTCAACAGTGTCAAAGGCTGCAGTCAGGTCCAGCAGGACCAGAACAGAACAGTCCCCTGCATCACTGTGAGTCAGAAGGTCATTAGAGACCCTAAGAAGAGCTGTTTCAGTAGAATGAGCTCTACGAAAACCTGACTGGAAGCTATCATAGATGTTATGTTCATCAAGAGCAGCTGTGAGTTGTTTAGCCACAACCTTTTCCAAGATCTTGGAGATGAACGGAAGTTTAGAGATGGGTCTGAAGCTTCTATGGAGAGAGGCGTCAAGACTCGGTTTTTTAAGAAGCGGGTGGATTACAGCGTTCTTAAAGTAAGCAGGGACCTGACCAGAAACCAGAGAAGCATTAATTATAGAGAGCAAGCTGGGACCGATGGACTGAAAAGCACTTTTAAACAAAGATGAGGGTGAAGATGTCGAGGGGGCATGCAGAGGTCTTCATAGAGTTAACTAGTTTGGTTAACTCAGGCAAAGAAACCGGAGCAAAGCTATCCAGGATGATGGGCCTGGTTGGAGTCGGGAGAGGCAGCGATAAAGCTGAAGGAGAGATGCTAGATCTAACCTTATTGACTTTGTCCACAAAGAAAGACAGAAAGTTTCACAGTCTGCAACAGAGTGGATGGAGGCTGTAGGAGAGGCAGGAGAGACGATGCTGCTGATGGTGTTAAACAGCACCTTGGGATTCCCTTTGCTCTGGGACACCAGGTTGGAGAAATAGGAATCCCTTGCGTCTCTGACTGCAGAGTTAAAGGATGTCAGCGCAGAGGTTTGATAGCTTACCTTCATAGTTGTGTATGTAGCTAGGCACATACAATACAAGCTTCGTCCATATTTGATTTTGGCATTTCAGACAAGGCAAGAAAGATTCGGTGTATATTGTTAACCATTTTTCTTGGGAGGTCTTGCAGCACATGCGTACAGATAGCCATTCTGACCACTCAGCGCGACTGGAAGTTGTGCGCTGCCAGTTGAAAAATACGGAAGTCCATGGAAGCCAACTGAGTCCTAGAATTTATCTCATAATTATGAGATAGCTAAGTCATAATTATGAGAAACTAAGTCATAATTATGAGATACTAAGTCATAATATCATAATTATGAGATACTAATTCATAATTATGACTTAGTATCTCCTTATTATGAGATACTAAGTCATAATTATGAGATACAAAGTCATAATTAAGAAATACTATGTCATAATTATGACTTAGTATCTCATTATTATGAGAGACTAAGTCATAATAATGAGATACAAAGTCATAATTATGAGATACTAACTCATAATAATGAGATACTAAGTCATAATAATGAGATACAAAGTCATAATTATGAAATACCAAGTCATAACTATGAGATTTTATTTTTATCTGAGTGGCGGGAATGGGCTTCCATACACATGTCTACAACACTATTAGACACTAATTTACACAGGTTATTAGCCAAAAAAAAGTTGATTTTGGTGTGACTTGCTCTATGCTTTGCCTATTTAATGATTGTCACCAGCAATCTTTAAGCCCCACTCAAGTGTAAGGTTGTTGTCCCCAGCAATACTAAAAACAAACTGATTTCAAACCTTGATTTCATCCATCATTATTCAAAATCAAAATTATAATGTTAAATTCAAAAAACCTTGAAAGTAGATTTAACAATCTAATAGTGAATAAACCCAATTAGTCATTTGTCCCTCATTATGATTATTCCCCACTAACTTGTGCACCTTTAAACAATGTTAAAATTTAACCAATTTTGATTCACAACAACCAGATGTAAAGCTCCCCGCTTGCAAACAAACAGCCAAATAAACTTTATAAACCTAGTCATCACACTTTTCTGAGTTACATAGTGAAGCTCATACATACAAGGTCAGGTTTCACCAGTCCGTTCATTGTCTCATTTAATATCACTTTTGAATCACCATTCATAATCATAGGCAGAAAAATCAAATACATTTTTATAAACTATATTTTTGTCTCTGTGTCAACCTACTATAAAGTGTGGGTTCATACCCAAAGTACCGAGTTTCATCATTATTCAAATATTGAAGGCTAATAATATAGATAATCCATGTTTTTAATGGAATATTACATTTTATTGAATACCTTTATCTTCTATTGACAATTTATTAAAAGTAACCAGTTACAAATCA